GTGTGTGTGTGTGTGTGTGTGTGTGTGTGTGTGTGTTGGTGAGTTCCTCTCTTTGCTCTTGAATCATCGTCTTCATCATTTTGTTGCTCAGTGATTTAAAAAACAAAGGTTTGGTGAAATTCACCACAAACCAAAAGTCGATGACATCAATTGAATTTTCATTTGTTCTTTGAAATCGTTTGGTTTCATCTTAAAGCCGTCGCAGCTGCAGGAGTTCAGAGAGCAGATGTCTCATGAGGAGAGCTGCAGCTCAGGAGTGCAAGAGCACAGTTTGAGCACAAGCAGAGCAAATCGAAGCGCAAGCAGCGGCTGTTTGAGCGAAAGCTTTACAACATCTGAGCATGAAACCCATGAGTCCTCCTCTTGAACTGAAACGTCTCACTCTTCGATGAAGAGAAGAGATTCTCATTGAACAGTTTCCCTCGGTTTGTTTTACGAGCAGTTTTATCTCAGATCTAATTGACGCTAACGAGCTTGATTTTAGAGGCTGTGCTTGTAACCGTGTGCGTCTGTGTACGAATAAAGGACGAGCAGAGCGACACATTCACAGACGGCACCGACAGGTTTAAGATTCACTACACAAGTATCATTGTGTCTGTTTGTCTGCGCACAACAATTTTCCTGTGCGTGAAAACTCCAGCATCCCCCGACTCCCTGCTGTGCTGCCACTCATTATTCTGCTGTGTGTGTGTGTGTGTGTGTGTGTGTGTGTGTGACACACTAACTATAAGGGGCCCTCCACAGCAGCCTGACAGAAATCACAGCTAAGTGAAGTGTGAAATTAATAAGCCAACGTGAGGAAAGAGCTGACGTTTCTTTTTGCTGGAGCGACGATGCTGCAGCTTTGTGTTTGTGATGAATCTCAGTCTGACGCCTGCTGCGTTTCACAGTGACGACGGATTATTGATCGTTCTCAGCAGATTCGTCTCAACAGCTGTAACCACGAGCTCCGTGACAATCACGCTGAGTTTTGAGTCCCAGCGACAGGAGGTGAGACGTCGTGGAAGCTGCTGAGCATCGACCGTTATCCAGTGTTTTCACTTCATTATGTTTCCACGCCGACGAGTCATTCACAGACTGATCTCTGATCGATGGACCGTGACGGGAGTGAATGAAATCAAATATGTTAATGAAACACTTTTAATTACCAGCACATTAGAAAGCACGCAGGGCGGGGGGGGGGGGGGGGGGGGGGCTCCAGAGGAGGTGGCGTGGTTCAGTCTTTCACTTTATGATTGTTTTTATCTTTGTTATTAGTTTAAATGATAATTAATCGTATGCAGACGATCGGTTTCAGACCGACTCCGTCGATATTTCCTCGTCCCTGACGTGAAGTCAGGATCACTGACGTTACTAAATTCATCCTCTGGGATCATGAACGTCTGTGGACGGTGTTGTTGAGGTATTCTTCAGATTGTGTTTGACGAACACGACTGATCAACGTTGTGATGAGTTCAAACAGACGACGCCTCCTGCACGACGCGACTTTAAACTGTTTCTCATCAACACGTGAACATATGGAACCGAGGGGGCGGGGCTTTTTATTGTCGTGTTTTGTTGTCGCCGTGTGCTCGGTCTGTCGGAGTCTTCATCAGCTTCACCTCCCGGGGCTTCAACAGGCCTCTCCTCCCTGCTCATTAAGAATTTACTGGTTCCATCAACACACACTTCCTCCACATCTATCTACACACACACACACACACACACACACACACACACAGAGTTCCACATCAACACACTTCTCCCCTCTAACATTTATCTCTTTCACTCACATACACCCCCCATAGTGCATGAACACACACACACACACACACACACACACACACACACACACTAAGGGGAAAGAGATGGGACAGTGGATCCATTTTTCATTTCCAGGGAGAAGCACAGATTCTATAATCAAGCCCGGGGGAGGCCGGGGGAGGGTAAGAGAGGGAGCGGTCAGAGAGAGGGAGAGAGAGGACGAGAATCCAGACGATGATAACGACTGAAAACAAGGAGACGTCTCTACGTTATAGAAACACGTGTTCTGTTTAATTCATGTTAAACACAAATGGAACAGAAACGTTACGATGTGAAGCTCGAACACAGAATATCTACAGATCTCTATTCACTCCTGAATTCATTTCTCCAGCGTTTTGACTCTATCACGTCTAATCCTCGTCCATACTAACGTGACCACTCCCCTTCACTGGGCCTGGTGGTGTTAACAGGAAGCGTTTGGCGGTTAGCTGCAGAACGAGCTCGGCTGCTGACGAGGACGAAACGTAAAATGTAAAAATGTAGAACAACAGGGTCAGAAACATGGATTCTATATGTCGTGTTTTATTCTGGTAGCTGAGGCTGCTTGTTTTATTCTGGAAGGA